CACACATCATCTTTGCTTAGTTAGTGATGCATATGAGGATTCTCATTTATTCTTTTTTTGCTTTATTTGTGATTCTATAATAGCAATGAATGTTGAGGCTAGTTAGAAGATAGCAGATTATTTGAAAGTGTTATTGAGATCTATGAGTCATGAACTAAAAAAATAAGGATAGCGGAACATTATGAACCTTGGAAGCAGGACTTGTGTGAATATGATGTTAAAGTTTATGAGAAATAGGGAAAATTAAGAAATTTATTTCAAGTATGAAGCTTACATATATGGAAGTATGATGGATCTATTTTGCATATTGATTTAGACAAACATAGGGTCTTTATTTTTTTCTCACCAGTATACTACATTACTACTTTTTTTACAAGCACACATGATATGATGCAATGGTATTGGATACAAGCGTAGTAATTTATCATCACTTGAAGAAATTTTGTTTGGACAATCCAATACATGGGACTCTATGCTTCCTAATTTTTCCACACCCATCCTTATATTATCCTTTTTGCCACACCTAAGTTAGTTGCTCCAGATTTTCATCTTCATTTATTATCTAGCAATTTGATTAAAAGCTTTCAAATTCCAAGTAATAAATTTAATCTTAGTTTTTTGGATTAAAACTTAAGGGTTTATAGTGGCATTGCATAATATATTTATATTTATTTACTTGAAGAGGATGTGACCCCAATTCTCACTAATAGCAGAAGGGGGAGGAGACTATAATAGATGCATTTGTCTGTCAAACTTTCTTCTACTTTAGAAGAGATTCGTTGAAGAGGGTGGATATAATAATCCAATAGTAAGAATTTTGCTGGTTGTAGCTTGTGGTTGTTTCGTTGCTTTGTGAGATTTTATGTTGTATTTAGGACATCTAAAGTACTTAAGATTTTCTTTTTATTATGAATAAGAATTTTTGAAGATCAGATTTTTGCATATTTGATGTTGATTTTGTTGTATGATGTTGTTAATGGGGTTCGATATTGACAGGTTAAAACATGAAAAGAGTAGAACAAAAGATTAAAAATTATCTCTACGGCTATATCATGCTTTGGTAACGTAATGAGGATTATAACTAATCTTGCTAAAATCTTGTTGGAGACATTAGAAATAATTATTTTTTAATGCTAAAAATGTGTTAATCATGCTTAAATAATTATTTATTATAATTTGTTATTAATTCATAACTAGAGCCATATTAATCATTATTATATTATGACTTTGGATTCAACATATTCAGCTAAGTATTCGATCTATACTAACATCTATTGTTCTCATGATATACATTTTTAAATAGCCATATATTTAACTTGACAGGTCCTTTAATATTTGACACATGCTTTAAATTTTAATTTAAAATCAAGCCTTCAATAGGCTCTATACCATGAGATTTCAGTCAAATTTGAGTTGTTAGTTGCTTTTTATTAGGCAGGACTGACAACTTTAAATATTAGCTTTGTACTAATGTTGAGGATATTTTAATATAAATTGGATAGAGATAAATTTTATAGTCATTATATTTTCTTTGAAATGAATATAATAAAAATTTTGATTAATTAATTATATATTAATCTCAAATAAAAATTAACAACTATAAGGCCTTAACTAAATCAAGGTTGGAACATTTTGATTAAAATTATGGTATATTGATGTTTCACATATCTTATATTCAATCTTGTTTATTTCTTATCCTCTTAAAGTTCATCAAATAATTCTAAATAAAAATCTTATAACAAAGAGGTTTTCTTTTAAATGTCAATTAATTAGTTTTTAATTAATTATTTAAAAAAATTAAACAAATGATATTATTTATTAAATTTTTATTTTAATAATAAAAATATAACTAAAATATTCATATTAAAATTTTATGTTAAAATATTCATTTTAATTTGAAGGAAATTTTGAGGCATAATTTTCAAGAAATAGAATAGTAAATATATTTTTCTACGTTTGAGGAAATTTCAAATTTTTTTAAATTAAACGGGTTGTCGGGTTGACCTGGCAACCCGCCGGGTCAACCCGACCCTACCCGTTTAATCAAACGGGTCAAATCTACGAACCCGAACCCGACCCGTTTATCAAACGGGTCGGGTTCAACCCGGATTTTCCGGGTCGGGTCCGAGTCGGGTTTTCGGGTCGTGTCAAAAGTTGACACCCCTACAAAAAGCAAATGTCCCTATTAAAAAATAAAACTTAAAAATAGAGAAATTATTTTATGTGGAGTCTGGAGACCAATCATAACAATCTTCCCTACAAATGAGCTTTAAAACCATTTTCTCAAAATATATTGGGCTAATAATACTTTTGTCGCTACCATTGAATACTCGCTCTCCTTTTCGTTTTTCCATTATGCGGACAGCGGCCTTCCCTCGTACGACCGTCTTCGTAAACGCGCTGGTTTTTAAACCCTAGAAACAGAATCGAAAATTGCAGATACAGCCAGAGAGAGACAAGCACCGTTGTTCTCTGTTTCTCGTTTACGGTGGCCATGAAGGAATCATCTTCTTCTACGGGGCTCAATCACTCGAAGAGACAACCGGATAACTTATTTGGCAAGTACTCTTCTCCTTATCTTTTGCTACTCTAGATTTCCTTTTCTTTCCATTTGAGAGCATTGAAGTTTCAGTTATTGCAATAGAGATGTAGCCAGGTCACTCTATAGAAATTGCCTGAAAACTATAAGGAATCGTACACTGTTACAAGGGGATTGAAAACTCTGGTTTTACTGCTGTGTCTCAAAATTTGGTCTGCCTTTCAAGATGGATGGATAAAATTCATAGAAGGCTGGTCGTAATGATAGATAACTGCAGCGTGATTCAACTACGAGATTTTCGTATTTCATTTGTTATAGGAGAGTTGATTTTCATGATAACTTTTTATCTCTCCGGCGCTCTTTACCGGTGGCTATGGAGGCGTCTGCTTCTTCCACGGGGCTCAACTTTCAAAGGAGACCACCGGATTGTTCCTTTGGCAAGTACTGTTGTTCTTATCATCGACTATTATAGGTTTTCTTTTTATTTCCATTTCAGGTATTGGAAGCTTAAGTTAGGACAAATTTGTTTCCTTGTAATGTCCGGAGGCGACGGAATCCCGGTCACAGAGTGAGTATAAGCGTTTGTTTGACTGGAACCCCTTAATTGGAGTTCTTATTTTTCAAATTAACATTAAAAAACAAATAAAAATTGTGTTTCAATCATGAATGCAATGAAACAACCAACAAATATACTTTTTATTCAGTGACATTAGAATGAATTTAAAATGATGGGATTTATATTTAGAACAAAACTTTACCTATAATAATCATAAAATAATGAGAAATATTATGGATGATGAAAAAAATGAAACTTACTCCATCATGGTCAAATACATAAATTGAGTTCTTAGGGAATAAGTTCATGTTAAACAAATAAATATTATTGTTTAATGTGCCTCATTTCCGAAATTGAGAACTTTCAAATACTTGCAGTCAAACAAATTGTCCCTTCAACTATAAGCTTTCTTTAATGTTGAGCTCATTTGACTGTCTAATTATATCCAATCCATGGGCTGTAAATTGACGGACAAGTGTAAAAGGCATATAAATGCAAAATGAGGAGATGGAGGGATGTTGTTTCTTTGCTATTTTAATTTTTGGTTGTCTATCTACCTTTTGGCTTAATTATAGTACATTGTTGGAACAAGCAATTTTATGATGGATATGTTTCAAGTTGCATAAATAGAAGTTGGCATCATGTTTTGTATATTAGATTTTCTTGCATTATTTCCATAGGAGAGTTGGCTCTTATCAGAATTTTTTGGAAATGTGGATACATCTGTAAAAGGCACAACATAGCAAGCGTTATAGCCCATAGTGCAGTGTAGAGCACTTCATGTGCTATTTAAATAACAAGGCACTATAAAGCAAAATTGTGCTTGTAATGTGCGCTATAGTTTATAGAGCATATATCTTACACTTTTTAATTAGTATTAGTTGTGTATCTTCTTGCTTTATTGATTGCAATTGATGTGATGCATGGTTTGAGTTACACGTGAGTTAAGAAAAGAAAATTAATTAAAGCTTAACCATTTATAATTTCATACTTCAAATTCAAATCGGTTTCAAGAGCTCGTAGAGTTCCGCTTTGCTTAGGCAAAAGAATTACAATAAAAGAAGATAGCCGAACGATTTAATCTAATACAAGGAAAATAATAACGTTAAAAACTAGTAACTTGAATCCCACAAGTAATAAAGAGTTGTTCACACCTTGAGACCTTTTTCTCTCTTTCCTACGTTGAGCGGCGGAAGATCGTCCAAACTAGTACGGAGGTTGCCACGAGGAGGAGCCAAGGAACGTCGCCGTGGGGAAGGATCTCGGAGGTGGAGGGAGCACGGTAGATCGACCTTTGATGATCCACGTGTAGACGGAGAAGTGGTCGTCGATGGAGTCCACTAGCGTTGGTAGGATCCGGTCCAAGTATTCTTCTACGGTGTCGTCGAAGTCAAAGCCGACGTCGAAGAACTGTGATCTGAGGATGTTAACCCTTCCGTTGTTGTGGTACTCAAACCCGAAGTTCCACTCGGGTTCGTCCATGCATTCTTGTAAGTGAAAACGGGTGGTCGCCGCAAGAGATCTCCAATGGGAGGGAGAGAGGAGCGGCGGCTTGGAGGGGGAAGAGGAGGGCTGGCGGTAGAGCAAGGGTGAGGGGCGGGTTTGCTTGAGACCAAAACTGAAGTTTAATTTCAGTTTGATGAAATTGGGAGGGAAAAATTAGGGATTTTGAATTTCCAATTAATGCAATCAAAGCATTAAATGAAAATCAATTAGGGAGATGCTAAGGGGGGCCGGCGGTAGGAAGAGAGGGGTTTAGGGAATAAAAAAAAAAACTGAAATTTTCTCAGTTTTAGTACAAGTGGAGGGAAAAATATTTGATCCTAATTTTAATTTCAAATAGGATTAGGGAGTTAATTGAGCAATTAATGAAATTCCCCCATAGGGGCCGGCGGCATGGCTAGGGAGAGAGGGAGAGAGGTTTCCAAATAGAATTTGATGACTAGGAAAGTTTGAAAATAAATCCAATTTCATTTTTTTTTTAGGATTCATTCTAAAACTTTCCATAAATAAAATTTCCAAATTTGGAAAGAAAGTGAAATTTGAAAATCAAATTTCAATGAGGAATTGGGGGGAGGAGATGGGGAGGAGTAGGGGTGTCAATTTTTGACACGACACGAAACACGACCCGAACCCGACCCGGAAAAATCCGGGTTCGGTTCAACCCAAACCCGAAACGGGTCGGGTTCGGGTTCATGAAATCAACCCGTTTTAAAAATCGGGTCGGGTTCGGGTTGACCCGCCAACCCGAAATTGACCCGAAAGTGACCCGAAAGTGACACGAAAACTCATTTTTGACCCGAAAACCCGAGATTGACCCGTTTTTGACCCGATTTTGACCCGAAAACCCGAGATTGACCCGATTTTTGACCCGAAAATTAGCAATTTTGGGTCAATTCCGGGTCATTCGTGTCGGGTCGGGTTGACCCGGACCCGAATCGGGTCGGGTTCGGGTCCAGAAACCTGACCCGTTTTTAAAAACGGGTCGGGTTCGGGTTGACCCGAACAGTGCCGGGTCAGTTTCGGGTTCGACCCGAACCCGACCCGTTGACCCGAATTGACACCCCTAGGGAGGAGTGGTGGAGAGGGAGGGAGACCGGCGGCGGCAAGGTGGCCGGCCGGCGGGACTAGGGTGGCCGGCGGGTAGAAAGGAGATTGGTTGAGTTTCTTTGATTATTGTTGTTTAATTGTTCAATTTATGCTACATTCATTAGCCAGAGGAAATAGAAAATTGTCAAAATTTTAGTGAAAAATTTCTCAAAAGGGTCAACATTGGAAATATTGTGCTTTTCATTAACTTTCAAACAATATCATGTTCTGTTTATAAGATGTTGATAATTTATTTTGCATTAATAAATTATTTATGATATTTTGAAAATTTGCACATTTTTTAAAATAGCATATGTGCTATGCAATGTGATATGACTTTATAAGGCCTTTGCACCAGAGTTTTCTATTCACTTCTAAAATGTTGGGGTGGACATTGAGATTGATTTGAAGGACTCTATGTCTTTATTATGTGGCTTAACTATGTTAATAAGTTTTATAGTATGGAGAGAGTTTGGCTGGGGTGCTTTAGCTGGGGCTTTTGGGGAAGGCATGATGCACCCGATTGACACTGTAAAGACAAGGATTCAGAGCCAGGCTATAATCACTGGGAATCAAGGGCAAAAGAATATATTGCAGATGATCCAAGCTGTTTGGGCTTCCGATGGTATAAAAGGTAGATCTTTGATCTTAGTAATTTCGTATAAGCTCGACTATTACTGTTGTATGTCCTATGCTTTTTTGCATTCTAACAATGAACCTAAACTTTCGAATAAAATAATCTCATTTTATGCAATTGCCCTATTTTTAAAGGAGGATATTATACTTCTTATTTCAAGCTCCGTGTGCATAGAGTTCAACTATTTGTACTTTTAAGTGGATATAAAGTTTTAAGTATTTCATGGGCCAACATGCCTTGCCATCGTGATTACCTTTGCTTGAGGGACACATTATTTTAAAGTCGATTTGTGTTCATCTCTTTCTATTGCATACAAATTTTCTTGTTGAAATCATGTGCATAAATTTTGTTTATGGAGAAAGTTTTCATTTGTGCATTTCTTGGGATTGATATAATTCCAAAATATATGACCATTTTTATGCATTTGGTTTTTATTTAGGATTTTATCGGGGCGTCGCTCCTGGGGTAACAGGATCACTTGCAACAGGAGCAACATACTTTGGTGTTATTGAATCGACAAAACGATGGATAGAGATTGTGAATCCTAACCTTGGTGGCCACTGGGCACACTTTATTGCTGGAGCCATTGGTAAGAAATGTTTTTCTCTTCAATGCTTCAAAGATTATTTTCATTGATATGATCCTCCGAAAGCTTAGAAAAGTATATATAATTATTATTTTTATGTTTAATTAATTGATTTGAGATTTTTTCAAGGGTATATGTTTATTATATTACTTTTCATCTTGTTAGGATCGAAAAATTGTGCACGTAACATACCAAAGTGTATTTTTATCTTGTTTTTTTCATAATATCAGTTTAAAAATGATTTGGAATTCGAATTGGATTATGGACAAGGAACTAAATATTTATGTGGAATTGTGGATCAACACTATGCTTTGATTGTACTGTAACAGAAGAAACATTTCCACTTTTCAATATATATCTTTCGAAACAATGAAATTGAACATTCATATGCCCGTTATTTTTTCTTTTATTTGCAGGTGACACAATTGGCTCATTTGTGTACGTTCCCTGTGAAGTAATAAAGCAACGGATGCAGGTTCAAGGGACAAAAAATTCTTGGAGTTCTACAGTGCTAAAAGAAAATTCCTCCCAAAAATGTGGGGCACAGATGTATGGTTACTATACAGGAATGTTTCAGGCGGGCCACTCAATTTGGAAGCAACATGGCGTAAAGGGATTATATGCAGGGTAATGTTTTTTAACAATTTTTTTTAAATCCCTTCAAAGTTTCAACATGATCACTCTTCCACTCCCTCTTTCTTCCCTCCCAGGATCTCTCTGTCTCTGTTTTCCTCCTTCCACTTCCTCTTTCTTCCCTCCCAGGATCTCTTTGTCTCTGCTTTCCTCCGTTTCATGTCTTTTGTGCCCGCGTGCGTGCGCATGCATTTGCATGAGTCATTCTGCTTTTGTTACGACTATTCTTTGATGATATTCAGTCGTATGATTTATTTATTTCAGGTTCTTTTCATCCTTATCTCAGCTTTTTGGGGACATACAATAACAACAAGCCTTTATCCCACCGACAATATAAATTTATTGTTATGTCAAATTTATTGGATCTTTGTTTTATCAGAATTTTAGCCATTTTATCATTTAGAAAACTATGTGATCAAGAAACCAATGTAAAATATTTCGATTCAGTTAAATTTTGTGATTCAAAATTAAAAATTTGGTTGCATCTTGACAATTGGTTTAGTATTTGTAGCATGGTATATTGTTCAAATCATTTTGTATATCTTCTTAATTTATATTTAATTATTTTAAATTATTTTATGATAATTCAACAAAAGATATTATGCATATATTGCAGTCCAAAAGATTATTTCAAGAAGACAATGGTTGAGAGACATTAGATGTAGGATCCTCTCTAATTTTTGCACTTTAAGATGGTAAAATTGGCATCTATTTCGGGGAATAAAATTTGCACTTTCTTTAAGTAGTGATTTTTAACCGAATTAATTTACAAATGTTAGGGGGATTTCGACGTTTCAATTGAGCTAGGTTTGTTTTGGCGTTTTAGTTTAGCTAGGTGGATTTTGGCGTTTCAATTTTCCTTGAATGTAGGGCGATTTATGGCGAACTGTGAGTCACATGGTGGTGGAGCTAGACTTCATAGTTAAAGCCTTTGATGTTTGCTTGACATTGACATTATTTGCGGCCTACAAGCTCCCGCAAGCCCTCGACTAATGAGCTGTGTGAGTGATGCAATCTAGGTTCTAAAACAATAAGAGAATACTATGAATGCAATTGACAACGCTCCCTTTCAATATAACATAAACATACACAAATATTAAAAACTAAATAGGAAACAAAACTTAAAAATTTGATAAAAAGGCACATAAAATAACTAAACGACTAAATTAAAATATCCTTAGAACAACCTTGTAAGGTAACATCACATGCAAATCACGATAATAGAGAATGGTGCTCAATAGAAAAATCAAACTAGTGGTTTGCCACAGAAATTATTATCCAGCTCAAGTCAGCGCTCCTTCGACAAATACCAACAAACGGGGCACAATAACATCTTGCACTCACAATATTTGAAGAAGAAAGATACAAGTGGAAAGGAAATCGTGGAGAGAAGATTAGATAGAAGACAGACGAAATAGAAGAAGTAAGGTAGAAGAAGATAGTTTGGAAACTAAATAAACCGCAGGTTCCGCAGGTTTTAGTGTGATTACACCAGCAACAATAACCACCAACCCCTTCTAGCAGCAAAACAACCCATATATATAGGAGAAGAAGGGGAAAATGGCCATAAATTGCTCACTTAATTATGTCACCCAAACAACCAATAGAATCCTCTAAAGTTATCCCGTCTAATGAGGAATTAATGCACTTAATATAGGAAAACGACAAGGTGGAAACCGAACAACCAGCAACAAGGGAGAAACATGACAACAATATGGGAGAAACATGACAACAACATGGGGAAAACAACTAGCATAGGGAAAGCCAACAACAGGGAAAACATGATAACATCATGGGAAAAAACAACCAGCATAGGGACAACTAGCAACCGGGAAAACGGGACAATAACATGGGAAAAACAACCAGCATAGGGAAAGAGTTGGGCCAAGCCCAATAAGCAAAACAACCCAAAATAAATACCCAACTAACCACCAAAGAAGCAGATTAATACAAGTGGAAACCAAAGAGTGAAACTACCTAAGACCACCAAATTCAAGCATGATCATGGGTTGTTTTCTATCATACGGCTATACAAAATAAACTTATGTAGCATCCAAAAACATAAGGAAAAAAGAAATAAAATGATAAGTCATGATTGCATTAATTCTCCCCTGGCGGAAGAATATCATCTCCTGATGAGAATGCTTCATTCATCCGTTGACATACTCAACTGGCACTAATGCTGCTGCATTATCATAGTTGTCCGATGATAACTATACAACAAATCATAACCACTAATGCTTAACTGTTGCATCACATCTTTGTTGCACTTTATCCTTCACTAAGCCTTTTAAATGTAGTCTTCTTCCTTTATATTACATGTGAAAGAAATGAAATTAATTTTATCTTACCTTTACTCTTCCTCTTATCTTCTTTCTGTATAGTTATTTCTATGCCCTATCTTCTCCACCCGTCAACAACCATCCTTTTTAGCTCTCTCACAAGAACCTTTGTGACAGACCTCTGTCACAAGCGCCTGGGCCGCTTAAGCTGCTACTCTTTCCTCAATATCAAATCAACAAAAATGTCATTGTATTCCCTTATCAACTTCTCTCTGTAATACTTCTTCCTCTCTTTGCATCGGACATCCTTCACAGGTCCAAGATGGCTAAGTGCCCTGCTATACTCAACCCACTACACTCCAAAAAAATATTTACCTGTACCTCAACAACCATTTGACAACCCAACAAATTAAAGACTGTTAGCCGGATCTCTATAATACCTTACAATTACTCGCTTGAACATATCGTTTGCTGCTAATCAACTATACCATCATATGCATAATTTCCTTATTCATCACTTCTACCTGCTCAAATGCCTCCTACGCTATATCAAAGCAACCTCCACCTCTGGCCTTCCATTCAACTTGGCGATCTCACCCTCACCACCTACATTGATTCTAATTGGGCAGGAGAGCTTAGTAACCACAAATCAACCTCAGAATTTTGCATGTTTATTGGCTTCACACTTGTATCTTTGGAGTGTCAAAAAGTAACACAGTCACTTGGTCCTCTATAAAGGCCGAATATAGGGCTTTAGCTGCCCCTGCAACTGATTTTATTTGGCTTCGCCAATTACTACAGGATTTTAACTTCTCTGTTCCACAACTCACCTCCATTTATTATGACAATATCTCATCTAATTCCTTGACTAGTAATTCAATTTTTTCATACCCGCACGACACATTGAGATCGACTATCATTTCATTCACGATCACATAACGGCTGAAGACATCCAAGTACTCCACATTCATGCAAGACAGACTTACTTACCTCCTCACCAAATCCCTCTCCACAACCTGATTTCAACATGTACGGGGCAAGCTAACAATCCAACCTTGAATTATCACCTTGATGGGGGATAATAACTGACTACCCATTATTCCATCTTAGCCATGCACAGCATGCACTAACCACTGCTGCAACGTCACAGCCATGTGGTGATAACTACAGTATCACCTTTTTGCTATACTTTATCCTTCTCTAATCCTATATGATGCAGTTTTCTTCCTCTACCGTATATTGTGAAAGAAATGAAATTAATTTCATCTTATACCTTTACTCTTCCTCTTAGCTTCTTACTGCATAGCTATTTCTTTTTTCTATCAATATATAGACAAAAAGGTTCTTCTTTCCACAAATTTGCATTGCCAAATGCTCTCAGTGGCCAGTAACTTAGAAGTATTTCTATAGAGTCGTTGACAAGGCTATAATTGTAATTTAGAGGCGTTTTCTTAATTTTTTTTTCAGGTACTGGTCCACACTTGCAAGGGATGTACCTTTTGCTGGTCTGATGGTATGCAAAGCTGTAATCCGTCAAGGTTTTGCGGTCTTACTTGGTATTGTGGTTCAAAATGTTGCTTTGCCCATTTATTAGTTATCAAGCATGTCCAATCAAATAAAGAACAAAATTCTCTAGACTAAACAACAACAATGCCGAAATGAGCTAATTTATGGTATAGCTTCATGTAGGCTTTGGATCCATTATTTTCCTAACTAGTTATTTTTCTTTCTTTTTTTTCCATCCGGAAATCTTTGCTTATAACATTATTCATCAAATCCATGTCAATCCCATCTCTTTAATAATTATATTGCCAATTTAATGTCTTGCACCATCTCTGTTACATATCTCAAGCCCTTTTGTCACGTCTTTTTATTCTTTTGTTGTGAAACTTCTTTCTGTCAAGTAATTGTAGCCTTTTACTTCATCAATTCTGGTTAAAGCATTAATCTGAAATTTGTGCTATGAGACTAAATTTCTCTCTTAATGTGTCCTGTACAAGTTCTGATAGAAATCGTCTTAACAACTTGTAGGTAACCTTCTATGAAGCATTTAAAAATTTGGCTGAGCATGGTAAACAGAGATTGCCACCTGGCAGAAATGTGCATATTAGCAGTTCTTTTGAAGGGCTTATGCTAGGAGGATTGGCTGGTGGTAAGGTTTAGCTTTACGTTTTGGAAAGATCAATATGAGAGGGCTTTTTTTTTTTCTGTCACTTCTCCATAAGAAATAAGCTTGCAATCATTATTATTCTTTCATTGTTCTTCATTAGCAACGTTCCAACAGTTCTTACGAGTTTACCATGAAAATAGCTCTGCGGCCTTAGCATTTTCTCCCAGGAGCAAATGCCATTAAAGTCTGGATAATAGTTAACCATATAATTATTTGGGGCCTTAACATCTACTATAGTATTCCTGAATGCCCTCACGCACTTGAAACCCTCACATTCTCAAATTGTCTATGAGATTTAATGCCAAAATTTACTTTTTACATCTTTTTTATCAAGATTATTAGTCTAACCCCAACTATATTCGATCAATTATTTGAATTCTTGCGAGGTTTTAATTTTATATATTGTAAATCTTTTTGAACAATTTTATTCACATTGTTGGCGTATGATATAGTATTAGGATTTACGAAAGTCTCTAGTGTCTTGTTTTGTAAAGTTTTATATTAGAGATCATTTCATATCCTCATAATTGAGGATATTCTCAAAGTTAATATTACTAGAAAGTTGGTTTGAAATTTACTTTTATTTCTCAATAGTAATGTATAACACATTATTAATGAGATAATGGGTAAACATGATATCGATGTGGTACAAACAAGTTCATAAAAAGTTCATGCAACGCAAACAAATATCATTGAAACTCACTTCTGGAACTCAGCTTCTACTGCTTCCGAACTCTTCCACCAAAACAAACTTTCCCTAACAGCTACTCAAAACACCCCTCTAATATAATTATCCCTCAATTAACTCTTGAGAATTTGAACACACATCATTGTGACATCTTGTATTTTTCTCACTCAATTTGGCCATTAATGATCATTTAGATGCTCAAGAATTAAATCAATATAACATAATAGGTCCAAATACAACTTTATAAATGCCGCTGATAATCCTTCATTATATTTTCACACTATGTTATTTATATGTAGCCATCGTTTTTCTTCAGGTCTAAGTGCGTATCTTACAACTCCCTTGGATGTGATAAAGACAAGACTGCAAGTACAGGGATCTAGCTTGAGGTAATTATAATAATGATTAAACTGTTCTACCGACTATTAGAATGTATCCTTTACTGCAATAGGTCAATTCAGGATCCATAGGTAGGTTCCCAAACTTTTAAGGTTTCGTTTGAGACAACTTTTTTATTGTTTTCTAAAGCAATTTTTTAGCACAAATATGTCTAATTCAAGAAAAATTTATACTAGAAAATTACTTTAAAAAACAGTCAGAAAGCTATCCCAAATGAAGCCTAAATTTCTTGCGCTATCCTTCTTCCTTTTCTTATTCTTTCCCAATTTCACCATCTTTGATTTTCACAAACTATCCATAGATTGTGAGGTATGTTAACTTCGTCTAATATGCATGTGGAGGTAGGTAGATGTTAGTTTTATAAATAGTTAAGATTTAGGCGTTATTTAAAAAATTATCTTTCTGGGTAAAGGATATGAGGAGGTAGAAAGATGTTAGTTTTGTAAACGATGAAGATTTAAATATTATTTATAAAATGTCCCTTTTGTTAAAAAGGTTTTTATGCAGACAAAAAAAAACATCTTTCTTGTTTATACAATTAACATTCATATCAACTTTTTATAACTGCCTAATTCCTGTATTTGCATTTGGGAGATTGACAAAATTGAAAAATACAGGTTGGGGCTTTAGTATGATTGAGATTTTGTTTGGGATTGCTTTCTTATGGCTTATTAAAGCAAGTTTCTAGTACAAAAAAATTAATTTTTGTAAAAAAATTTGCTTTAAGAAGCATTAAAAAAATTGTCAGTGATAATTTAAAAAATGAATGCTGGATGGTGTTAGTTTTATAAATAGCTAATATTCAAATATTATATTTGAAATTCACCCTTTTTGTGTAAAGCTGATAACAAACCAACCGTTACCGCCATTTCGTTTAGCTTCGTTTGGGACGACTTTCGTACTGTTTCTTAAAGCAACTTTTAAAAAAGCTGTCTGAAACGAAGCCTTCATTCTATTAGACCATCTAAAAATGGACCGTTTGATCAGCAATAAAACATTCTCTTATTCCTGTAGGTACAACGGCTGGCTGGATGCTTTGAGAAACATTTGGAAGGCTGAGGGTGTGAACGGTCTCTTCAAAGGCAGCGTCCCAAGAATAATGTGGTATATTCCAGCCTCTGCTCTCACTTTCATGGCAGTTGAATTCCTACGTGAAAATTTCAATCAGAAATCAGTCTCTTGTGTTCATGAAATCACTAATATTTCGATCGAACCGAGCTCAAAAATTCACGAAACAGCTCAGTGACTCTACTAAGGCTTCTTTTGGGACTACTTTTTTACTGCTGCTTAAAACAGTTTTTTAGTATAAAAATTTTAATTTTTGTACTTAAAAACTTCTTTAAAAAGCTGTAAAAAGCTGTTCCAAACGAAGTCTAAGCTTTAGATTCGAACAACTGCCAAGTTTTCATCAGGTATACTTCATTTTTTTTGTTCTATTGAAGATGCCCAGTTTAATACACAGCTGTTGAAGAACTAAAAAATTCAGCATGTATAGTAGCTGAGTAAGAAAGGATATTTGAGCTTTATGATTTCTATTTGTAGAGTCTAAACTGCTTTTTTGTTGTTTTAAAAGAGATTTCGTTTGTTTTTGATGGTTTTTATTTTTATATTTTCATGATTTTTTTTTTGAAAAAAAGATCAGTGAATGAGTTTACAACTAATTAATTATAAATAAACATTTAGTTAATTGAATGATGATGATATTATTAAGCCATATATTATTTCTAATGATTATTAATGTCACAATTTCTACATTTTCTGTTTTAATCTGATATAATTTTTAAATTATTAATTTTTTCAAACATTTTTAATCAAAAATATGTTTGGATTAAATGTCTATTTACTATTGTAAAATTGTTGTGAACAAGCCTAAAATTGCTCAATTTCACTATTTTAAAATGTCAAGATATATTAAAAAATAAATGATTGAGAGAATTAATACAAATCATTCATTAAATTTTTTTGATTTCGTATCAAAATGAGTAAAATGCCCCCCTAAGAATATATAAATTATTCATGTTTTTTTCTATATCGAATGAAGGTACAATGAGAAGTTAAAGAGGGTGTCATAAGAAATAATCTACAAGTGAGATTCAAGGCTTTGCTTGGTAATACTTGACTTTTGTTGTTGATGGTATTCTCACGGCAAATGAAAGCCGCCGTAGATGAAAAATTTTGCCTTTTCGTGCTAAATTTCAGATTTCTGAAATCCTATTTTTGTCGGATTTACGAATTCAATGGCTGATGAGGAAGAGTCCGTTCGTTAAATCTGATCTATAGCCAAACAATCACAACATAATTTAATAGTATTTATCATGAATGGTACCAAATAATTTTTAAGATTTAGACCCTTAAGGATTTTCGAAATATGGATTTAAAAGCTTTATAAAATCCTACTTAATTCAAGTCCTAAGTGCTACCAAATAGCCCCTTAAAATTTAGTAAATCAAAGCCCCAAAATTTTTGATAATATTTCATGATTTCATTGCCGGTTAACATGCAAAAAAGGGTCTGTTAACATCCAAAAAGGAACTGAAGGCAATGTGGAGAAATTTCCGGCTCCGATTCCACTATCCAAGACTTCTTTTCTCTCAGTCGTCCGCCGGTGGCGTCGGCGGCGGCGCTGGCGGCACCTCTACGGCGGACTCTGAGATCCCAACTCTCTACTCCTTCCTCCAGCCCTCTATCTTCGCCCTCCGCAAAAAACCCAACCCATCTCCTTCCTCACGACCTACTCCCCGCGAAGCCCTTGCGCCAGTTGACGCCATCTCTCTCGAATCGGCACTTGATTCCTCCCTTCTGTCTAATGACACTGAGGAAGCATGGAGGTCCTTCAAAGCCCTAACCTCTTTATCTCATTTTCCCTCTCCCCGAATCTCTGCCTCTCTCATTTCCCACCTCTCCTCTCTAGGCAATCGCCTCAGCCTCAAACGCGCCTTCGCCACTTCCATCTTTCTCTTAGAAAAGAACCCCGGATCCCTATCGTTCGAATCCCTTGAGATTCTCTTCTCCTCTCTGGACAGTGCCGAATCTACTGCCCCGGCTCTTTCTTTGGTCAAAGCCATGCTCAAAAACCGATTTTTCGCTCCTTTTTCCATCTGGGGGCGTTGCCTGCTTCGTCTTACGAAAAGGAATGGAGGATTTGAGGCGTTTTTGAGCGTTTTTGAGGATAATTGCATGGTTGCTCTTGAGGAAAGGATAGATTTTATGAAACCCGATTTAGTATCTTGTAATTTGGTTCTGGATGGGTGTTGCAGAGAGTTGGGTTCTGTTCCTTGTGCTGAGAGGGTTTTAGAGACGATGTCGGCAATTGGGCTAGCTCCTGATTCTGAGACTTTTGGTTCTCTTGCGTTTTTGTATGCTTCCAAGGGACTCGATGGAAGGATCCAGGAGGTTGAGCAGTTGATGGATGCCTTGGGGTTTGAGGATAGGAGGGAATTCTTCAAGAATTTGGTCAGTGGATATGTTAAATTTGGGCACTTGAAGTCAGTCTCTTCAGTTATTTTGCGAGTCCTCAATGAACAGAGATGCAAAGATCTCACCTTTATTGGGGATACTACCTTTGCTGAGATTACGAAGGCGTTTCTTGACAATGGTGGGATTAAAGATGTAGCTTCTCTGATCATTCAGACCCAGGAATTGGAATCATCAATGGAGTGCCCCGTGGTGGCCGAAAATTCGGTTGGATTCGGGATTGTCAATGCCTGCGTTGGCCTTGGGTTCTTAGACAAGGCACACAGTATTGTTGATGAGATGAATACTCAGGGTGCTGTTGTTGGGCTTGGAGTGTACTCTTCAATGCTGAAAGCTTACTGTAAAGGTCAAAGAACAGCAGAAGCAGCACAGCTTGTCACTGAAATAAGCTCCTCTGGGCTTCAATTGGATACTGGCAGCTATGATTCATTAATAGATGCTTCAATGTCTGTTCAAGATTTCCAATCTGCATTTTCTCTTTTCAGGGACATGAGGGAGGCTAGACTACCTGAACTTAAAACAAGCTACATCACTATAATGACCGGGTTGATGGAGAACAACCGGCCGGAGCTCATGGCATTCTTCTTAGATTCTGTCGTTGATGACCCAAGGGTGCAAATTGCTCCCCATGATTGGAACTCTATCATCCATGCCTTCTGCAAAGTTGGGAGGTTAGAGGATGCTCGAAGAACTTACCGGCGAATGGTGTTTCTGAGGTTCGAGCCTAATTTCCAGACTTATCTGTCTCTTATTAATGGCTATGTATCTGCTGAGAAATACTTCAGTGTGTTATTGCTTTGGACTGAGGTTAGGAGGAAAGGAATTAGCTTTGATCATGACTTGGTGGATTCATTCTTGTATGCTTTGGTTAAAGGAGGGTTCTTTGATGCTGCAATGCAAGTGATTGAGAAGGCTCAGGAACTGAAGATATTTGTTGATAAGTGGAGGCACAAGCAGGCTTTCATGGAAACTCACAAGAAGCTCAAGGTGCAGAAGCTGAGGAAGAGGAATGTGAGGAAAATGGAAGCTTTGATTGCTTTCAAAAACTGGGCTGGTCTCAATACATGAATCTTGATTCATGAATAGTTTGTTCCTAACAGGTTAGTTCAATGAAAAAGAAGGTAAAAGGCCAAAGATTCTAAGTCTTTTTTAGCCCATTTGGATGCTAAGTTTGGTGTTTTTGTGTCATCACTCTGCAGCCTAATATTTAAATTACATACAAATATTATTAATATTAAATTATTAAAAAATATAATTTCTTTTGTATATATTTTGATAATATCCCTTTGCGGCCATACACTGCCGTTGCCAGGTCCCAAGTCCTGGATGAGAAAAGTGGAGGGTTGCGTTAGGTAGTCGACAGCCAGCGTAAAACTTGTCGAACAATAATGACATGAATCCTTTAAGAAATTGTGTTAATGCTAGGGCCTCCCCTGGAAGCGACGCGCTGTATGGCCTAAATACAGTGACAAGTGTGCAAGGGCCACTACACCGACGCCCGGGTGCAGTGTTAAATAGGCAAGGGTTCCCACACCAAGGACGAATGTGGGCAAAGAAGCTAGTCCATGAAACTAAAATTAGGATAGGAACTTGGAATTGACATGAAATATTAAAATTTATAAGATAATATTAGTGATATATTTAATGTTAAAATTATATATGAGCGGTAGATTTATAATATTGATATTTTGAATGTTAAAATATATAAATAATACGAAATAGAGTGATATTGATGCAGGACTACTTAGATGACATGCTTATGGATTCATGTGGGCATTGCACAACTAATAAATTAGAACAATTTCGGGACAAAATTACAAGCAAATTTCAAACGACAATTAAAACAAACGAGTGGATCAATTGCATAGTCTAAATCACATGCTCCGAGTTTGAACTATCAAGATGATTAAGAAAATAGAAGCAATACAGAATAGTAGTTTTCAAGTTAAATTCCTAATTTAACAACGAGACGTAAGATGCATAGAAGATTACACTCAATTCCTACAAATGACTAGGCTTGGCAAGAGCAATTGAAGGCGCTTTCGTGATTACAATCATCCAATGAGAATTTAGATTTAGAAGAAATAAAATGCAAGTGAAAAGGAGAACCTTTGCTTAAGGAGACGCGGAGATCTTCCACTTGATGCCTCCAACGCCTTCGTCCATGGCTTCCGTTGAAGCAAAATATGATACGTCTCTTGAATATGGGTTGGGGGTCTACTTCTAAGTGTTGATTTCAAAACCTGAAATTGTGTTCAGGTTCTTCCTCAAGAAATCTGAAATATTCCTGAATTTCCTCTCAAAAATCTGAGAAGAAACTTAGCTTTCAATGTTTGGGAGGAATGGATTAGAGGGGAGCAAGGGTATGGACATGAATCACAAGTGATTTACTGGTGGAGAGGAGTTGTGAGAGGGAGGGGAGAATACGTGTAACAGAGGGGAAGGCCGGCGGGATTGAGGAGTTTAGGGTTTTTGATTTCCTAAAACCAAGCTCTAGTTTTAGGAAAGAAATTAGGGACTAGTGGTTACAGCTAAGAGGGAATTGAGGATTTGGAAATTATTTCCTAAAGTTAGAATGGAGTTTAGGAAATAATTTGAAAAGGGTTGATGAGGGAGAGCTATGGGGCCGGCGGCATGCATGGGTGATGGGAGGGAAAATTAGAGAGTTAAGTAAACTTCCTAATTGAAATTCTTAAGATTGGAAAGTATTGATTTATTCATCTCTTAATCAAAATTCAAATAGGAGCCCAATAATGGACTTTTCTAAAATAGAATTAGTATATTAGGAAATATTTTGAATTTCAAATATTTGAAATTTGAATTCAAAATGTATTCCAAAATATATTAAACCAAAATAGGAAACAAATAAAAGGAAGGGGGAGAGGTGATGTGGTCGGCGGCAAGAAGGGGAAACACCAGCGGTTGGGAATCCAAGGCCGGCGGCCAAGGGTTTGGGGAGGAGCCTGTGGCCATGGGGATTGAGGGGAAGGAAGGGAAATCGGGTGGGGAATGCTACCGGGGATGGAGAGTGGAAGGAGGGGAGCCAAGAGCCACCGGAGGTGGTGACTGTTGGGTACGACGGGTGGCCTCTCTAGGCTCCACCAAGATCTCTAACTCTCTCTCTCTCTCTCTCTCTCTCTCTCTCAAGCTACCATTAGCTCCAAGAAGACAAGTGCAGGAAAATATTCATCATCATTCATTAGCTTGAAAATAAAACAAAGGGGCTTTAAATAGCCTCATACACAAGACTCTAACTGACATGACACAATTGCCCTTAGGCTTACACATGACCATTATCATACAAAGGGGTACAAAGGGAAATAAAATAAACACTCATAAGCAAATAATAAAATGCATAAAAACAAAATACATTGACTCAAAAATATAACGACTCGATCGTGGCCGTAGATCGGCGGCCACGTCGCTGGTAAACTCTCCATGATGATCTGATGGGGGCCTTGGCCGGTGGCAATGGGGCCTTGGCCGGCAGAAATGGGGATTGGGGATGTTTGGCCGTGGGGTGTTGGGAAGTGGATGATGGATCGGGTGTGGGGCTTTGACCGTGAAGGGGAGGAAGATGGGTGGAGGGTTTTGGAAGCTCGGTGAGGAGGTGATGATAAGATAAAGAAGATAAAACCACGAACCCGGCCGTCTCCAAGGTTGGTGGGTGATACGCCAATTTCCCTCTCCAAGGGATCTCTCCAAAACTCTCCAAGAACTCTCAAAGGCTCCGCAAACACAAGTGCAGGAAAATTTTCTCATAATCATTCATTAGCTTGAAAATAAAACAAATGGGCTTTAAATAGCCTCATACACAAGACTCTAACTGACATAACACAATTGCCCTTTAGGCTTACACATGACCATTCCCATACAAAGGGGTACAAAGAGAAATAAAATAAACACTCATAAGTAAATAATAAAATACATGAAAACAAAATACATCGACTCAAAAATATAACCACTCGATCGTGGCAGTAGACTCTCCATAAGGATCTGATGTCCCCATCAGATATGTATGTAAATACCCATACATTTTCATACGAAGCATTTGGGTGAAATTGGCATACGTGCCAGTGGATCGGTCCTAATCTTCTTCTCAGAAAGATTTTCCTGCGACCGGCCGGCCGCGTTGGTATCGTCCCCTCTTGGACGCCGGAATCTTCTCACTTATTCCTCGGCGGCGATCGCGCCTCCCCCCCTCTCGCGTTCTTGTTCGATTAGTCTTTCTTCAGGGAAAGTAAAGGTTCTGTTTATTGGACCCTTTACGTTCTATAGCCTGATGTCAATGGACTGCGACGGTTCCTTTGAATGCACTCCAGAACTGGAGGATTTTCTATACGAGAGGCTGCTGGACCAGAGCCAGCCCATTGCGGAACGTTTCAGAGCTCTCTTCTCCCTCCGTAATCTGAAAGGTGATCGTCCTAGGGAAGCCCTCGTAAGTGGTACGGTTCCAAAGCTTTTTTTCTATATTGTTTCCGTTATTTTTTAGAGCTTCCGCGAAATTTTTTTCCTATTTTATGATCGTATTCTTGTTGCAACTCATCACTTAAATTTAACTAAATGTTTTATTTAACACTTCGAAGTTAATGGTGATTGGTTTCTCTCGTGGGCGCTGCATCGCTTGAGCCCTTATCATCATCCGGTTTGAGGGTTCCGGACTGGAGTTATCTAGGGTTATTGATGCACGATCCAAGGATAATCTGATCTGATGCAGATCTTCTTAGGTTTATAAGACTCTGGTCAGAATCGATCAACTAGATGATTACAACTGACGTGGTACTCGGCGGAAGTGTCAATCGTAAAAGATAAAACAAGAACGAAATATAGAAGAACTTCTGGGAGGAAAATGAGATAATATGCATTCTGTGTCTTTCCTCTTACAAGTAACTATATGGAAAATGAGAATATCGTCAGCAAAGGTACAACTTCTTGCAAATGTATAGTGAGAACATCCATGACTAAAACAAAAAGATATGGGCTTAAGGATGATGCTTGATTTAATCCAACTGAAATAGGAAAATATTTGGTCAAACCACCTTGTGTTTGAACACAAGTAATAGCTTATGCATACATATCCTTAATGACTTGAATATGAGCATTATCAACTCCTTTCTTATGTAGAACTGTCCATAGCACTTCTCTTAAAACTTTATTATATGCTTTCTCCAAATCAACAAAAATCATATGTAGATGCTCTTTATTCTATCTATACTTGTCCATCAAACCTCTCAATAAATGAAATAGCTTCCATAGTAGACCTACCTGGCATGAATCAAAATTGATTTTGAGAAACATTAGTGTCACACCGCAACATATGCTCCATAACTCTCTCCCATAGTTTTAAGGTATGATACATTTTAACTTAATTCCTCTATAATTCTCATAATCTTGTGCATCACTTTTATTCTTAAAAATAGTAATCAACACACTCATTCTACACTCATCTGACATGTTTTTAGTCTTCAAAATAATATCAAAAAGTTTAGTAAGCCAAGAAATTCTTTATTCTCCTAAGCATTTCCACACCTCTATTGGAATATCATCAGGTCCAACAATTTTTCTTGAATATTTTTTATGTAATTTTTACTTAAATCAAAAATACTTAATAATTGCTAAAATCAAGAGTTTTGCATTATTTCATGCATCTTATATTAGTTTTGCATTAAAAACTCTTGACCCTATGGCATCCTACATTTGCATCACATATATGGCAAAAGAAAAATTCAGAATTTATTTTCATATCAAGTACCATTCTTGATATCCAGGTTTTTTTTGCTTCTAAATAATGCAAAGCATATATATTTTTTGTACGTTTGTTGTAAAAACTGGTGGTGTTTTTAACAAGCTGACATTTTCAAGAAATTGATTTTTTCAATTTTTTTGAACAACTAATATTTGTTAGTTTTTTTTTCTTTTCTTGAAGTTATCATCACTAGTACAAATGAACAAAACTATTCATATTTTAAGCTCGTTTGGCAATGGAAAGACTTGTTTTGTTGGAATTGCTGTTTGCCGAGATTCTAATTTCCTAGTTTTGTCTTAATGATTGCAGAATTACTGAAATCCAGGTTCTCTTGCTATAACTCGTGAGAGAAATAATTGAATATATGTTTGAATAAATAGTTCGTGCCCAAAAAGCTTGTTTGGCAGACTATTCTTGTTCTATTTTTGTTTATGAAGGTCCTAAAACTTTAAGGCTTAGAATTAACTGTAATGCTGAGAAACTGGACCGGGAAGGATTAAAAAAAAAAGGAGGGAAGGAGTGGGTTGGAGGGATCACATCCCTTGCAAGTGAGGAATTATGTGATTCGTAAATTTTCAGACAAGCATCATATGACTTTCTACACTTCAAATATCATGATAGTTGTGATGTAAATAATAGTTTCATGGATATTGCTTGCAAAGAAAAAAAGTTTGCATTGAATTTCATAGCTCTGCACAAGATTTCTCTTTCTTTTTTTCAATGTTTCCTACTTTGCTTTCAGCTACAAGGGATCCTTCAAATTTGCTAGCACATGAGGCAGCATTTGCTCTTGGTCAAATGCAGGACACTGAAGCCATTCCTGCATTAGAAGAAGTTCTCAAAGATCTCTCATTACATCCAATTGTTCGCCACGAGGTTCCTCTCCCTTCATCAGTAATTTTGTGTAAGGATATTTTTATTTCTGAGCTGATAAACTGATTTTTTTTATTAGGCCGCTGAAGCTCTTGGAGCAATTGGTTCAGAGGAAGTTGTTACCCTGTTGAAAGACACTTTAATAGAAGATCCTATACTTGAGGTGCAAGAAACATGTGAATTAGCTCTTAGAAGAATCATGGAACAGAAAAACATTGATAGTGGTGATGTAACAACCTCTAAAGTCTCACCATTCCATACTGTAGATCCTGCCATGCCTGCTTCCCTTGACTGTTCAGTTGATCAACTAAGGTAAATTTAAATGAATGAATGCTTTTGGATATTCTCTATGAGAAGCTTCTTAACCCATTTTACCGTGTTGCTTAAGGGAAGTTATCCTCAATGAAGAAGAGGGAATTTATGAGAGGTATGCTGCTTTATTTGCACTACGGAACCAAGGCGATGATGCTGCTGTAAGAGTCATCATTGAATCCTTAAGTGCTAGAAGCGCTCTGCTACGACATGAGGTTTCTAGTTTATTCAACAAATTCTAGATTTCAGCAACTTATATTATTTTAAGGTTAACTTACTATCTAGCTCAGAGTTTGACTCGTTTGGAAATCTATTATTTTAAGGTTCATTGAAGAAGCCAAAATCAATTGGTTTACATTCATTTATAGGGTTTTTGTTCTTCAGAAGGATAGAACTCTGTCCTTTCAAATTTGTTTTTATGAACATTTAATTATATTGAATATAAATGGAAGACTAAAGCCATTCATTTTGTTATACATCATGAAATATATTTGAAAGTATCAACATTGTTACAAAACTTATTGATATTTGACAGTCGAGTAATATTCGTATGTTATGAACTTATGATCAGTTTCCTTAGTCTTGCATTGGTATGTCTTAGAGCTTTATAGACCGCATACGCACAAGCATTATTCATATGGTATAAACCAGAATCAAACCACAGTTTTTTTTTTAAAGCATTACATGTCGATTGCAAACGATGCATTGGCAAGGTATCTTATGAAGTGCATTCCGAGTTTGCGAACCTACCTTTTAGGTTTTGAAAAATGCTTTTTTGACTTAATTTGAGATTAAACTGGGTATTCTAGATACATTCAACTAGTATATTCGACTGTGCCAATCTTTTGCCATGTAATTAGGGAGATGATTCTCAATTATACCCAAAGCAAAACAAGCCATCTTCCAAGCTCACCATCCCATGAGAAAGGCTTTTAACCTTCTTCTGTCAATGCCGCCATCATCAAGATATTTAAATATTTTCATTTTTTTTATCTTACTAAACTTTTTAATACTATTTTGAAGACTAAAAAGATGTCAGATGAGTCGAGGATGAGTGTGTTAATTCCTATTTTTAAGAATAAAGATGATGCACAAGATTGTGCGAATTATAGAGGAATTAAGTTAATGTGTCATACTTTAAAACTATGGGAGCGAGTTATGGAGCATAGGTTGCGGCGTGATACTAATGTTTCTCA